CGGCAAACCTGCTGAGGGTGCACTCTGGATAAATAAGACTGGCCTGTATCAGTTCCTCAGATCCCACCACTGTGCAGCTTGGGCGGGGGGCAGTGGGCTCAGCACCCCCTGGACCAGAGACTGCAATTGCCATCAGTGTCCTGTAGCCTGGGACAGGCAGAGGAACCCACAGATGGATCAAGGGGTGTCCTGAGGCTTGGAGAAGCCAATCGGCATTTGCTTGCTCGTCCTGCAGATTAGCAATATAGAATCACAGACCTTTTAAAGGGCTTGGGTTGCTTGTAAACTTGGTGTTGCCACGTTATTATAGTAAGAAGCATCAGGAAATTTGCCCCTAGTACTTCTGTGAAAGGTAATTCCTGCCTGCCCAGCTGCGGGACTCCTCCAGGCACATGCCACCTCTCTCTGGCTTGGTAGGGTCATGTTCATTGCATTAAATCTCTAATTTTATTCCTAATGGCCTCTGGTATATCTTGAAGGTAACATTACTCATTAGGAATAATATTGATGCTTCTAATAGATTTACTGTTGCTTGAAACAGTTTGTAGTACGGGCATTAACATAACTTGCTGGCATGAGGGACATACATACACCGACCTCGTTGCTGAACACCATCAATAAGCCCAAGATCCTTCTGAATCTTAAATACCTAGTTTATATTTTTTATTTTTACAGGGTTATAGCCCTAGATCTCATGACGAGGGAGCAACACCAAGCCGTGCCTCGCTGCTGGGCAGGCACGGGCTGCAGTCCCAGCCGGGGAACTGCAAAGCAGGCAGCAGCGTGGGAAGGACCAGGCGGGTACCAGTGCAGGTTGTCATCTCCCAAAGTCTTGCACATCCTCTCTCATCTAGTGCCGGATTTAACCATGACTCAGCCCCAACACATGTTTTTATCAGCTCTAGCATACGGCCTCAGCACCGCAGAAACGGCCCTCGCCAAGGGCCATGGGCCAACAGACACCAGCCTACCGGCGTGCGTGCGTTGGCTGGGAAATACGGATTGCAAAATACACGGTGAGGAAACCGCCGAGGCGGGTGGTCTCCTCCCAGGGGGTGGCTTCAGGCTCACAGGCACCCGCTGAGCCCCAAACCGGCCCCCCAAAGCCCTGGAGAGCTGCCAGGGGTGCACAGCCCAGATCAAGTGGTAGAAATACAGCGGATGTTTCCACTTTGTGTAAATCCACATCTCCCCAAGCCTGTTCATCCCTGCGGCTCTCAGCAGAGGGGCTCACCCTCCTACCCAGGCCAATTGCTAGTAAGTGCCATTAATTATTTGCCAATTAGTTCAAAGACTAAATAGAAGGGGACAGATATGAAAACATTTGGGGTTTTAGAGTGTGAAAAGAGTGACTTTATCCTAGAGGAGACAGACACTGGTGGGGAGGTTTTTTCTTCAGCAGCTCCGTCATGTTGCTCCATGCTCTCCCTGCCCCTGGAAAGCTCTGGGAGAGAATAATACTGTTTTCTAATGACCGGGCTCCTCCTGTACAACGGCTGCAGGAAATCCCAACAAAAACCATTGAAGAAAACAAAAAAATCCCACCTATAGTAACACAACCTGGAGAACAGAATTATTTGGTTTGGGGTGGAGGGGGTTACTGTGGAAATTCCCCCGTTCAGTACAGTTGCTATCAGAAAGCAGCCTGGGAGGAGGAGTGCGATGTCTCCACGAGCAGGCTGGAGGGGAGAAAACCCCATTGCAGCAGGTTGCACCGGGGAGATGCAGCTCCTGCAGCCGTGGCAGGAGCCTCCGTGGTCAGCGTGCTGGCCCCGAGCAGCGGCGGGGGCTGCTGGGGAGCGAGGCCAAGCCTCCGGCTTCCTTTAGACTTGCAAGAAGCAGGTTTTGAAAGAACATCCTCCTGCGAGCCGGGTTGCAGCGAGTTGTGCAAGGCAATTCCCAGTGGTGCCATGGCCAGTGCCAGAAGAGCCTGGGACAGGGAGCGGGAGCCACCGCTGAGCCGGGAGATGGAGTTGGAGCCCTCCAGACCC